CTCTGGGCAGCTTTCCAGCCACTCTTGATGAACCTGCTCAGGGAGTCAGGAGTGGCCGCTGAGGTTCACTCACTCAAAATCCTTTTCATCCTAGCCCTGGGGGAGTTGCTAGTAGAAATCTACAGAGAGACAATTAAAAGGTAACTGAATTTTGATCAAGAGCGAGGTAAGTTAAAAAAAGGTGTTTGACAAAAAAAAGAGGCAGTAATAGAGTTCAGTGCAGATTTAGGAATAAGATAGGGACAATGGGGATAGATCAACATGGATTAAGAGAAGTTCAGGATCAGGACTGGGGGCCAGCATGCAGGTGAGTAGAGTCCAGGGAGACAACGGTCTGTGGGGAGACCAGAAACAATCTTGGCTGATAATGAGCGTGTCTGTCTTGAGTCAAGACCTAGCACGTTTGGGGAAATGAGTAAGAAACCCAAGAGGAAACCTGTGACCCTTTCGTCAGGTTTCTTGTGACTGGTCTGGACGTGATAACCATTCGCAATAGTAACCTCCCCTTAACTGTCACTTGTTGATGCTACCCACAGTCTGTTCATGTCGCTGCAGTCTGTTCTGAGGCTGACTTCAGCTCATGTTATAGCTGAAGAAACGTATCAGATGTTTCTGGAAGTATCCTTACCATCTCTCCTCTAACTGTCTGTCACACTTCTCAGTTTAAGGGCTGTATAGGTACCATATGTAAACACATTGGATTCACTGAGAGACCTCTTCTGTCTTTGTCTTCACGACAGAAAACTCTTTCTCTCTTCATTCTTGGCTCTTCTCCCCATTGTGAGACTCATGGCTACACCAAAAGGTATTTTAACCAGGCCACACCATTTCTGCACAGAATTTGATCTGTTATCATTAATCCTCTTTCAGGTTTTGGCTGGGATGACAGTTTCTTTTTCGTGAGTCTGTCTTCCAGTGCTATAAACAGGCTGATAGACAGGACAGTCCAGAACCATAGGACTTTTCTCTATTTCCCCTACTGAAAAATGTTACATGTTGTTGTAACTGTGGCTTACGGTTGTGAGGTGCTAGGGCGTAAATTCATGGTATCCTCATAAGCATGAGAAGCAAGGGGTTTTGTTTTTTGTTTGTTTGGTTGGTTGGTTTGGTTTTTGGACTGGAATGTTATTAAGAGACAATTCTGGTCTATGTCTACAAAAATAGAAACCCCTTTCCCTCAGCTACCATCCCATTTCAGAGAATTTTCTTGAAAATTATTATTTTGGTCCACTAGCCAAGCTGTGCCTTGGAGCAGAAGACAATAATTGTAACGGGCAGAGACCACTTGGCAAGCCGAGTCTCCCCAAACATCCAGATTAGTCTGGAAGGCACTTGCATGGACGAATGAGGCTGCACTCACCCAACATGCTGCCAGCTGGATATGCAGAGAAGCAGCCGGCAAGCCTGGGACAGTTGCCTGACAATCAAAAGGCAGCGTATAATCTGAACAAACATCTAAGGGCATTTTGCTCAACAAACTTAGGAAAAGTGATTGTGGACGTTAACATCAACTTCTGGACTTTAATGTAAATGTGAATACTATACTAAGAATGTAAATTCTACTATGTAAATTTAATATGTGAACTCCTTATTTCTCTTCACACATGCCTTAGTGCTGTCAGGAACGACACTGCAAGAGGTAGTCCTCTAGTATTATGTGTGTACAGATGAAAAAAGATGTAAGAACTGGAAGCTCCTAACTGTATCCTGGGCAGTAGGTTTCATTTTTGCTGTAGGTGGATGGTTAATTGGAAATAAACGTAAAAGACCAGATGATTCGGTTTCCAATTTATTCACTGATTTACGTGCTTACCCTGTCAGCCATGAAACACTCACCTTCGGAGTCCCACGGGGATCAAGGAACCCATTAGCCTTTTCAGTATCAAGCCTGAATTGTTACGTTCAATGAGAGTCAAGTGCCAGCAATCTTTGCACAGCGTGTATCCTTCGTGTTTTTCTGCACCCAACATCTACAGCTCTAACAGGGCATGGATGAAGAATGTTCTGCTTCAGTAAGGCAGGACCGGTGTTCCTGAAATTTGCAGCCATGTTCCACAGCTAAGGAATATTTCTGGATTCTTTGCTGATTCTGAGCTCTCCCATAAAAACATCTGCTAATAACATTTTTTATAATCTCCATTTGGCGAGGTAGCTCTATCCCGTCCTGGCAGACAATGACCAGGCCTCAGTTATTCATGTCCTCCTCCTGGCTGGACTGGGAAATGTGATACGTTTTGGGCACAAAGCCTTTGGCACTTATGAAATTCCAAGTACACCAGAACTCTGCAGTTCATCCCATCAACAACGCATGCTGGTGTGAACACGTAAAAACCTTTCTAATGGTCTCTATTCGAGTTTCATGCAGGATCAAGGGTTTCGCCTTTGTTTTCAAAGAACTTTGTGGCTTGGACCCAGAACATTTAAAAGATTGCTTATGTTTCTGGGAGGGAAACCACAATTAATGCAATGAAGCTTTCTGCAATAACAGGACAGTTCATCCGGACAGAAGAGACCAAACTTTCTCAGAGGCTAGCGTGAGATTCTGGAGTGAATTCCCGCAGGAACCACAGATCATCACAAGCCTTCACCAACTTCTACTCCCACGGCAAAGCACATTCTTTTGGTTTTGTCTCTTCTGGTATAAATACACAGCAACAATAAAAATAAAACAGGACACTTGTTCCACTAGGGAGAGGAAGAGAACAAACACCACCTGACAGATGTTCGTTGTGTCATTTGGAAGGCGTTCAGATACAAGGATGACACCGAGATACAGGAACCGAGCATAAAAGAGGTAGAATAGACCTTCGGTGTAAATTCACATGAATTCATGTTGCAGCAGGCACCTGTCCCCTGGAAACTCATGTGAGGTTGCCAAACTGAGTTCATGCACATTACAGAACAGCTGTAAATCCTAAGTGAATCTAGTCGAGAAACAAGGAGTTCCATCGACAGCATTATTTAGGGTAGATTCTCTGCTGTTACAAAGGTATGCTCTAAAGCTTCAGTCTTTGTCCCAGTCAAGGTACTTATAGCATCTCTGACTTCTGCCCAGCTCTAGGAAATCTGTTGGGACTTAAGTGTCTTTGAGACTTCTAGTTCTCTCTGAAATTTTGCTGAAAGTAGTCACTTCTGGTTCTAAATATCCAAAGGAGGCAAGAGACACAGAGACACTGATTACACAAACTCTGCATAGGAAATCACGCTAAAACCTCGACATAGAAAAATGACAATGTTCTGTAAAGCCAGCTTTATTACAATAGGAAAATAATATAGAAAAAATAAAGGATTCCTATAAACACAAGATCAAATAAGCTAACATTTCACTGGAAGCTGAAACCTTGTGATAACAAACCCACTGAACACATATTTAACAAGCAAACCACCAACAGGAAAACACTTACATGTAAACTGTGCTTTTGGTAATTTCAGAAATAACCATCAAGGACTAGCATTGCAGCATGATTTTTGTTATAAATAACCCATCAACAGTTTTTTAGAGAAAATATAACTGTTCTCTCCGTCTCTCAATATATGTCTCAAGCTATAAAAACATTACAAATCTTTTCCTAATATCAAAACCACAGTGTTAGATCCAGACGGGTAAAAAACCCTAAACTGCTTAAGAATGCTATTAAAATAACTCTATTAAAAACTTACCTATATTAAAAATATTTCCTTTAAAGGCTGTTCTAGCCAGCAGTTAAATCTTTAAACATAGTGCTTACAATATACAAATGTAGAGGTTTTCAGACATAACTGTTGGTATATTAGAGGCTGGCTGAGTTAAGAACCTTATCGTTAATGGTGCCATCCAGTCATGCAGATTTGTGGTATTTCTGAGCAATGCCATAGGGAACATGCGCAGCTATGGTGCCTAATTTCTGTGCTCCTTCGATGTGAAACATCTGGTCATCAAAGAAAATGTGAGGGCGGATTTTTACCAGGATCGGTCCTTTAGGAGCTCCTGCTAGGAAAAGTGCCTCATCAATCTCCAGACCCCAGCTACGAAGAGTCTTCAGCACCCTGGCTCCAGAGCTCGCCGCACTTCTGGCTGTGACCAGGAAGGTCCTTATGGGACAATTTAATCGTTCGTTTTTTGCATAGAACTTCTTCTGGAGTTTCCCTAGGTCTTCCAGAAAACCTTTCAAAGGACCCTGAGTACAAAATACCAGAAGCATATTTAGTATTTGTCCACAGATCCCAAAATCATTCTTTTTCTTTATTCCAGATTGCCAGTTACATACAGGATTCCTTCCCTATTGCTAATGCTCTATGTAATGTGTCCAAACGGGTCTGCACCCTCACTAGGAATTCACAAATTGGAAAAAAGAGGTAT